GCTCCAAGTGAGCTTACAATCCAGCACCACTCCTAGATATTTATATTGCTGAACCACGGGTATACTAAGGCCACTGATATCATATAGGCTGGTAAGTGCTACTCTGTGTCTTGTGAAACACATCATCGCAGACTTCTCTACAGCCAATTGGAGATTTACCTCTAGCAACCAATTTTTTACTTTCTCTACCACGAGTTCAAACTTTTGGAGGCAGTACTGGTATGAATTGTGAGCAATGTATACACATATATCATCGGCGTATTGAATGACTTGAACTTACTTGTCGAAAATGCCATGGAAGTCAGCTGTATATATATTAAATAATGTAGGACTAAGAATTGAACTTTGAGGAAGGCCGTTGTATATCATTCTGGGGCCGAATAACTCATTTCTATGATTTATTATACAGGGTGACAGGTAAATAGGTGTAAAACATTTTAGGAGGTGATAGTACAGCTCCTTTGCTATCAAAATAGTACATAATACCATACCCTATATTCAAAGGTTAAAAAGTTATGGAAGATTTAATTTTTTTTTTAAAAACAACCCAGATTTCAGAGTAAAATAGTTGAGATAAAAAAAGTTAGTGATTAAACATTCTTTTTTTGGTGGTTTCAGGTTATTATTTGAATAAATAATTCTCATAAATTAAAAAACATATGAAAACACTACTGAAAACGTAGTTATTTTCATTTAAATGTTGAATGAAAATTTTTATTTTCAACTTTCACATTAAGAAGTCTTATTTTTTCCAAAAAATCAGAATAAAGAAAATGTACAAATAACTGCAAAAACTTCCTCGTTTCATTAGGTTTCTAAAATGGTATAATAACATATCAGTAAGTAAACCATTTAACAAAACAATATTACTCTGCTAGAAAGGACCGCTAAGCGCATTTCATTGTACTGAGCAGGTAAACCGAGCCTTTCATGGTTCGACCCTTTTTGTTATTTTTTGTGCCCTGTGCTGTTATTCGGGTTTAAGTATTCGGAATCTGTCGTCGCTCCTCGGAAGCAAGCTCTGCGTGTGTTATGAATTGACACAGCTGACCGATCAAGGAAAGGGAACTAACGCTTAGGTCAGTTAGTAGAATATCAACCTTTAACGCGGTAGGACGTACTTTTACTTTTTTGATCAGTTTTAATAATGGCGAGTTACCGTAACGAAGAATACGCTGATATTCTGTTTTGTTATGGTTTAAGTGATGGAAATTCCGTTGAAGCCAGGCACATGAAGTCACTGGTGTACGCTGAGCCCATAGACACTCTTGCACAGTTGAAAGAAAGAATTATTGCTGCTGCTGACACTATCAAAGGACAACTAACTGGCCGCATCACGCGTACCAACATGAGAAAAAGACTACGGGCTTGCATAAGAAACGGCGGGCGTCAGTTCGAACAACAATGGCAATGAATTTTACCTTCATTTCATTATTATATTTTACTTACCAATTGTAGTAACTTTTAGTCAGTTTTTATTATTCTGTAGTACAATTACAACTGTGTAAATAATCTATTCGTGTAACTTAACCGTAGTTTAAAATAATAACTATCCCATAGCTTACAGTTACATTATTTTCACAAAAACACTTTCTTATCAATCAGAGAGTTGTGAAAATAGGAGACAAGCCATTGGTAAATTTACTCCCTATTGTTATATTACAATACATTATGTTTAGTTTCACACAGTTTTTGTGCACTTATCATACCAATTTAGATTCCTTGTGAAACAAGGATATTATTTAAATTGTTTGTACGTTTTTTTGTATACTGATTTTTTTGTAAAACACCTTACTTACTGTAAAACGTTATTTGTTTTTCTTAGTTAAACATTTTTGAATGAAAATAAATACGTTGTTTGGTATTGTTTTCGAATCTTTTTTAATTTATAATAGTTAATTATTGAAATGATAACCCAAAACCTCAAAAAACAAATGTTTAATCGCCAACTTTTTTTTCTCTCGACTTTTTTACTCTGAAATATGGATTGTTTTTAAAAAAATCTTAAATCTTCAATAACTTTTCAACCTTTGAATATAGGGTATGGTATCATATACTAATTTCGATAGCAAAGGGGCTGTACTATCACCTCCTAAAATGTTTTACACCTATTTACCTGTCACCCTGTATACATTTTTCTAATTATACATAACTGGATTCTGCTAGCTGAGGATTTTTTAGATATACCGTTTTGTATTAACTTTTGCATAAGTATTCCCAAATCTACCAAGTCATATGCTCCCTTCAAATCCAAAAACCAGCACAAAAGGTAGTGGTTTCTGGAGAATCATAATCGGACATCCAATACTAGTTGACTCATCGCTTCTAATGTTCCGCGACCTCTTCTAAAACCATACTGGGAGTCTCGGAATAGTTTGTTGCCTTCGATGAAAAATTCTAATCTGAGTTTTATCATGTGCTAAAAGGTTTTAACCAAACACGATAATAGTGAGATAGGTCTGTAAGAATCAGTAAGGGCAACATCTTTCGACGGTTTTAATACGAGACAAATGATTATAGTTTTGAGTTCCTCTACAAACTTGTGATTTGTCCACCAACCGTTTACAATTCTTAAGAACAACAGTTTGACTGATTTAGGCAAGTTAAAAAGGATCTCATAAGTAAATTTGAACTAACTATAGGGGGGTGTGGAAGCTGATAATGGAGCAAACTTATCTAAAAGCTGTTCAATTGAATCTTTTGGTATTGGAATTTTATTAGCAACTGACTTTTTATTTATTGATTTGACAAATCTCCATATTTCGCTGGTGGGTGTTCTCCGATTTAGCTTATTTAAAAATGACATCCAGCTTCCTCTTTGTTTTTGTTTAGCCTTTTGACCTGAGCTGCGTATTTTTGGTATTCAACAAAATGTTCGTAACTTGCTCGCCGCTTATAATTAGCAAGGGCTTTCTTTCGTTTTTCAAATATATTTGTGCATTCCTCATCCCATCAAACTGGTTGAGCATTGGAATGGGTAAACGGTTTTTTCAAAGGGTTGGTGATATGAGCCGCATCGGAAATTAAGTTTATTAGTTTGTCGCACTTATCGGTGTTTGATATAGTGTCTAGATCTGATATGCCAGTGAGCTTCGATTCTAGCGTATTTTGAAAAAGTGACCAATCCGCGCGTTTTTCGTTCCATCGAGTATATGGAAAGAATTCAAAAAGTTGGCCTGGTGCTGATTGAATTGTTATTTTGATTGGAAAGTGATCTGATTCCATAGTGTCGGGCAAAACATCCCATCTGATGATGTCTGCTATTGATGGCGAGGATAATGTTAAATCTACAGCCGAAGATGGATTATTATACTGTGGGCTGAATATTCGGGTAGGACTACCATCATTAAGGATTACTAAATTATGATTTTCCATGGCTTCCACCAAAATCCTGCCTTGCGAATCATCTTCAGCTTAGCCCCAAAGTCCATGGTGTGCATTAAAATCCCCACAAAAAACGGTGGGGCCATTGAATTGACCAAAAAAACTGCACCAATCTCTTTCAGACACACGAATGTCTTTTGGTTTGTAAATAGATACAATATTAACTTCCCCATCATTAATAGAAACTGCTCAAGCCTCTATATCTGGGTTAAAGTTATTGCGTAAGTGAATTACTGTGTGAATTAAATTCTGTTTGATGAAAATACCTACACCAACTGATCGGCTATTTCGACATTTTTTCACAAAATTGTATTCTTTTAAGCTGAAGTTATGTGAATATTTTAGCCATAATTACTACATGCATGTTATTATTGTCCAAGAAGTACTGAAGGCTTGCTTTATGGGCAACAATCGATCGTGCGTTCCATTGTATATGTATATGACTCTTTAGATCTTTCTGAGTTATTGTTGTGTCCTCCATTATCAAAAGGTATCATCATCACTCAATGAAGAAATATCGATTACTTCAGTGTTGCTGTTGGAAGGTATATTTTTTGTGTATTCGTCAAAAATAGGGCTTAAATGCTCCTTAATATTTATCTGAGAGGATGCAGATGGTGAGTTTAATAAGCTAGTAATCAGAGTCGATATTTGGGGGATCATATTTTCTTTATGTTGTTTAAATTCTTCTCGATATGGGTTTAGTATAATAGGTTGAGATTTTGGTAATCCTTTTGAGACATAATGAGTATCAACTTTGGGCTGTGAGCTGAACGTTTTTCTTTTCTTAGGGGCAGGCAATTTAGCCTGATCGAGCATAAGTGGGGGGTGGTAAATTTGGAAAATTTTCAGTGGTATTAAGAACTGCAAATCTATTGTTAGTAACTATGTTGGAAGAAGGATTGTCTGCCATGCTCTCGGCTTCCTTAAATGACTTATTTTGATACGCCATAATCCTTTTTATATTATATTGTTTTTTGAACATAGGACAGTTTTTTGAAACGGAATTGTGTTCGTCACTTTTACAGTATACACCGAATGTTACTTCCGTGTGTCCCTCGCAGCATTTTTGGCACCTTTCTTTAGATTTACATTGGGAGGCCGTATGCCCATACCGTAAACATCGGAAACACTGTTCTACTGGATGGATGTAAGGTTCCACTCTAAATCTAACAAGGTTAAATTATTACTTCATTTGGCAATTCATTTCCTAAAAATGTTACTACGACTATTTGTCTATCACTAAATTCGTACTGATTAGAATCTGGATTCAAGGCTTTTCTTTTCATTCTCTTAACTTCCAACACTTTACTAACTGATACAATTTCCTTTTTAAATAATCTTCAGTAAAATATGTATCGACCATTCTGATTACACCCTTTTTGCTTGCGAAAAAACGTGGTAGTTTATTAGCAGTACTATTCGTCCTGAAAATGACCTTTACTCGCGTCAGGCCGATAGATTGTATATCCATGTATATCATTTTTTCCCGATTTCGTTGTAAAAAGAGACCTACCTTGATTGGAAAGAGTCTGCTTAAATTTTTGCTTTTGTGTTCCATATAAACAATACAAGGACCTTTATCAGATGCCAGATATCTATTATTCAAGTCATACCTGGGGCTATTATCTTGTGATTCATTGTTTGATTTTGATGAACTATTTGTAATGAAGTTGGACTGTCCTGTATCAGAGGGCGGCTCCATGCCGCCCGATTCTTCATTCATGATGTTAGTTGTTATTTATAAATTATAAGATACCTTACCAGTAAATAGAAAACCGGTGAAAAGAAAACAAATAGAAACAAAGAGAAAAAACTCGCCAGGAAAAACACTCCCGTAAATCGACCGATTACTTCGAAAGTCCGAAACGGAATAAGCTATAAAAGCGTGTTTTTACCGACTCTTATGACCCTTAGCATGGTGAGTCATGAATTGGTCAAATATAATGTCCGGTTCTGGTTGGATTTGCCGCACCGCCGCATCTTCGTTGTTTCCATGATAAGGTGCAAGGCGGTTGAAATGTACAATTCGGGCTTTATCGCGTGGTGCCTTCTGAATCCTGTAGAGAACATCGTTGATGACCTCCAGAACTTTATATGGCCCGTCCCAGGATGATCGAAGTATAGGCGACAGCCCCTTTCGCCTCTTTAGGTCATAAAGCCAAACCGTATCACCATTGTCATACCTCTGGCCTTTGGCATTAACGTCATAACCTTCCTTCATCCGGTCGCTGGCACCTTGAATCGAAACACGAACCTGCCTAAGGATGGCGTCCATTCTCCTACGCAGCTTACTTATGTAGTCTTCTCCATCAATGTGAGTTCCTGGTGGACATCCAAACTTTAGATCGCATGGGAGACGAAGTTCTCTTCCCGTAACTATTCGAGCCGGGGTCTCCCCTGTGCTTTCATGAATCGAGGATCGGTAAGCCAATAAGAAGAGGTGAAGAAAACCATCCCAGTCTCTTTGATGTTTAGAGAGTACCTTAACCAGATACCGGTTAATGGTCCTATTCATGCGCCCCACCATTCAATCTGACTGCGGGTGTAAGGCAGTAGTCGTGGTCTTGTTAATCCTAAGGATCTGACAGATACTTTGGAACAGATTTGATTCGAAATTGCGCCCTTGGTCTGAATGCAGGTGAAAAGGTACACCAAATCGACAGATCCATTCCTTTACAAAGCACTGGCTACCGTAGATGCTTCCTGATTTGGCAGAGCGTATGCCTCAACCCACTTGCTGAAGTAATCCATTTTCACAATGATGTATTTATTCCCTGCTTCACTTTTTGGAAAGGGTCCCGCCACATCAATAGCAATTCTTTCAAAGAGGCTCCTCACGTTGTTTTGGCGCATCGAAGTTTTTGGTTTCATTTGCGGACTATTACTAACCGCAGACACAACGCATTTTCTGCACCAGTCTTTTACGTCCTCCTTGCTACTGACACAGTAAAATCTTTACCTCACTTTTCCCAGGGTTTTTGTAACTCCGAGATGACCTCTTCACACACCGGAATGGATTTCTTCTAGCAGCTCCGGGATCCGACATCTGGGGATAACGATTTGTCTTCTTTCCTCTTTGCCGTCGTGGTCCACCATTTTACGCAGAAAGAGTCCGTTGTCCATAACGAGAGAATTTAATTGTGCCCAATATGATTTTATGGTAGGGGAATACTTGGCAACTTCTTCCCAGGCTGGTTTCTGTTGTTCTTTCATCCAGTTTAGAATTATTCGGAGATCGGGGTCATCCTCTTGGTCATTAAAGAGGTTTCCATTTTGCCAAGTATCTCTAACGATAGTTGCTCTTAATACATGGGCGCCTTTCTCCTCTGCTCGCTGGCAATGCTTAAAATCCTCTAAACAGGGTCTCCTCGATAAGGCATCTGCATTTCCATGGTTTTTTCGCGCTCGATGTTCGATGTCGAAGTTAAACTCTTGCAGCCTCTCTATCCGTTTTGCAACTTGATCATCTGGATTGTTAAACTGGAGAAGCCATTTGAAGGCTGCGTGATGGGTCCGGAGTAAGAATTTTCTGCCATAGAGGTATTTGTAGAAATGTTCCATTGCCTTTACGACAGCCAACAACTCCCTCCGGGTAACGCAATAGTTACGCTCTGATTTGGACAGTAATAATCAATGACCTTCTCTTCTTTCTTTCCTGGACTTGAAGATAACAAAGCACCTATGCCCACATTGCCAGCATCAGTGTCTAATACAAACTTTCTTTCTGTCAGTGGATAGCCAAGTACAGGAGCGCTTGTTAAAGCTTCTTTCAAGTGGGTAAAAGCTTGTTGGTAATCCTGATCCCATTGAAATTTGCGTTCCCCTTCTGTCAGCCTGGTCAATGGCTTTGCGATGTAAGCAAATCTTTCCATGTAACGTCGGTAATATGAACACAATCCTAGGAAGCTGCGTAGCTCACGTTTGTCCTTCGGAACTGACCATTCTTTTAAAGTCTGGAATTTCTCCTTGTCGACCGCGACTCCCTGAATGGAAACAACATGACCAAGATACTGCACAGCTCTTTGAAACAGGTGGCATTTCTTTAGGGTTAATTTCAATCCAGAACCTCGTAGCCTTAAGAAAACTTCCTCTAGGTTCTTCATGTGGCCCCCAAATGATTTTCCCACCACGAAAATGTCATCAAGGTAAACCAAGCACGTTTTCCAGGATAGTCCCTTTTTTTTTATGGCACTAGGACTACGTCCCATTAACCAGATCCTTTTTTACAATTTAAACTTCTCTAACTAAGTAAGGATGGAATTGGACAGGGATACACTCTTCTCACCTAAGGACCCATTAAGGCATTTTCAGAATATGACACACAACAATTAGGCCACGGTTAGGTAGGTAAATTACAGAGGATAGTTACACAGAGGATATCTAGCTAATCAAAACTAAAATTTTAACCCAGAGGTTTTCAAAAAGTCAATTATCAGACACGTAACATCAAGTCTATTCAAAGCTAGAATGTGGAGAACATTAAATGGTGAGATAAGGCCTAAGCCAATCAGATTAAGGTAGAGTCGATCACAGTATGGAGATAACTTCAAACAGCCAAAAAATAGATGATCCAAGTTACCCTCAATGTTGCAGAGTTTACATAAGTTGGAATCAATAATACGGAATCTAGCTAGATGTGTTGGATAAACTCCATGCCGAAGTTTTGCTCTAACAATCATAGATATGTATTTACGAGGAATTCTAAAAGTTTTGTGCCAGTACGTTGTTGGGATATCAGGATGTATTAAAGTATACCTCGTTGGGTTCGTAAAGCAGAATTCCTTCCATTCTAACGTCCAGCTTTTAAATAGGATTTGTCTGGATAAAATATTATAATCTTCTTTGGAAATTTGTGTCTGTAATACAGATCCTGTGTAGATGCTTGATTTTGCGAGTTGGTCTACTTTTTCGTTGAATACGATTCCACAGTGTGCCTTGACCCATACAAATGCAACCTTGCTTCCACTTTCTTTCAAGTGGCAGATCCTATGTTTTATTTGATTTATGTGACAATTGCTGGTCCTTGTGCAATCATAATTTTGTAAGGAGGAGAGAACGGAGAGACTATCGGAAAAAATTGTAAATTCTTTCAAGTGACTACTGCTTGCATGTTTCAGAGCTTGGATAATAGCCACTGCTTCGGCTGAAAAAATGGATACTTGGTCGGGAAGTTTAAAGGTGCCAACTGTGTCAGTACTGGGTATATAATATGCACATCCGGTTCCGTTCTGATTCTTGGATGCGTCTGTAAAAATCTGGGTACCCCACGCGGAATGCAGGCACACCTGGTTGAAAATGCGGATATTCAACAATGGGATGTCACTGTATTCTGGTATTATGATTACGGTGTTGGACTTAGTGGGAAGTAGCTTCTTCTCGGACAGAGATCAGATCAAGATGTTTGGGTGCTGTTATTTGAATCTGTCTGAAAGTACTGCATAGTGGGGGGGAGTTTTTTTTCATCCAATATTTGTTGGTCAGATCTTCGGCGTTGAGGTGGCGTAACTTTACCAGTGTTTGTGAGTCGGTAATCGTTTGTTTCACCAGGAATCTCTCTGCAAGCATTTGTCTTCGATGATGTAGCGGTGGTTCAAGAGCCTCAACTCATCAGTTCTATGGGGGAAGTTTTCATAGCGCCTAAGCATATTCTTAGAAAGGTATTTTGAACCACGTCCAGCCTTCGCAATAAGGTATTACTAGCAGAGCCATAAAATATGCTTCCGTAGTCTAGTATTGACCTAATATATGATCTGTAAAACATCAATGCAATTGTTTGGTCAGCTCCCCACCATACTTTCAGCATCATCCGGAAGAAATTGAGGCCTTTCGTGCACCTGACGATGATGTTCTGTATGAAGCTCCTCCAATTTAGTTTTTTATCTAAAGTAACGCCCAGGTACTTAACTGTATTATACACCGTGAACGTATGTCCTCCCAAGTGTACAGCGTCTGATATTTGGGTATTATGGCGAGCGAAGAAACATAGCTTAGATTTCTCGCATGAAAGCGTAAAGCCATTCTGGTTGAACCACTGGTTGTATTGATGCATGGCACTATCCAGAATATCTGTTCAGAATGATAAGGCACGGTTTTCTATATAGATGCAGATGTCGTCAGCGTATTGTATAATTTTGGAACTTGGATTAACTGTATGTAGGTCAGCAGTGTATATATTGAAAATGATAGGACTAAGGACTGCACCTTGCGGCAGGCCAGCAAAACTATAACGTGGTCCTATTTTTTTGTTTGTATTATCTCTTACAAAAACTGCTCTATTGTGATATAAGTTAGTTATGATGTAGCACAAATGAGGAGGGAGCCCGTATATTTCCAATTTTGTTCTCAGCAGTGTTAAGTCGATCTGGTCATAAGCACCTTGTAAATCTAAAAATAATGCTGCCAGATAATTATTGTCAGAAAAGCAACCTTGAATGTCACTAACAATAACAGCTAAGGCATCGGTAGTACCTAGATCTTTCCTAAAGGCAAACTGTTGATTTGGTAAGGGATGAAAACGCAGCCACCATTCCAACCTATTTTTTATCATCCTCTCAAAGGTTTTGAGAATGCAGGACAGGAGAAAAATAGGACGATAAGAATCTGCTAGATGACAGTTTTTATTGGGCTTTGGTATCGGAACCACGACGATTTTTTTCCACTCCTCAATGATCTCACCTCTTAAGAAAACGTCATTGAATATTTCTAGAAGGTAATCCTTAGCATTCGATGGAAGGTTACTGAGCATCGGGTAGCGGATTTCATCATATCCAGGGCATGAATTTATTGATTTACTAATGGCACATTCCAATTCGGCTTCACAAAAAGGAGTACTGAAAAGGTGACTTTGCTGTACTGGGGGTGGTGTTCCCATATATGGACTGACAATGGTGCACATTTTCGATGAAATTCGTCTAACCATGTAAAATCAGTGCATTTAGGTTGTGCATCTGGAATTCTTTTAATTTTTTTATCTAGATTCGATACCCATTTTATCCAGTTGTTTTTAGATTTACGCTTGAAAAGATTTTTTGTCTCCGCAAATATTTTTTTACATTCAATATAATTTTCGAGACTGCTATTTTGATTATATAGCCACAGCGCCTGTTTCCTCCTGTCTATTGCATCGGTACACTCTTGATCCCACCATGGTGGGGGAGCTTTGTTGAATATACGAAAGGGTCTACAGACAGGAATAGATATATTACTTGCTTCATTGATTTTTTCCAGGAAGTACTTATATTTATTTTCCGCTGATTCAAAATTCGGGGGGTTGTCAAATCTATTATTCAACAGCTCTCGGTATTGAGACCAATTAGCCTTATTCACATTCCATTTATATTTGGGATAAATTATGTTCTGTGATTGTATGGAAACAAGTAAATTAATACAAATGACGTAATGATCGGACCCAAGAGTATCAGACGAAACTTCCCAATTTGAAATTTGAGCGATATCTGGAGTGCATATGGTTAGATCAGGCGTTGAAGCCTGAAAGTTAGGGGCAGCAATTCTTGTTGGGGACCAGAATTCAGAATGACTAAGTTTGACTCCTCACATAATTCCAAAATCTGTCGACCTGTAGCATCCTCTCTGTATGATCCCCAAACAGCTGAATGGGCGTTAAAATCTCCGCCAATAACCACTGAACCAGAAGCTTTAGTGATTATAGCTTCCCAGTCGGATAACGTTGAGTGTATGTTAGGTGGCTTGTAAAGGGAAACAAATGAAATGTGATCATTCCCACTAGATATGCGACAGCCGCAGACCATAATGTCATTGTTAAAAGATCCATCAAAGTCAATATGAGAGTATGTAATTCCTTGCCTAACGAGAATAGCTACACCAGCCTTACCATCGCGCCTGTCCGTACGGACCGCGCTGTAACCCTTAAACTTAACCGTTTGATTAGGCTTGAACCAGGACTCGCTTATTAGAGCAATATCAATATTATTGTGTGAAAGAAAATGAGAGAGACTATTTTTATTCGAAATAGCGGATCGTGCATTCCACTGCATAATTTTAAGCATTTTAGTTATTTACTTAGGTATGTTAGCTTGAGATGGAAACTGTTGGTTTATATTGCTAACAATACTTCCTATTCTATCTCTCAATGTATCTTCGCCTATGTTTTGTATTTCTTCAAAAGTTTTGAAAGTACTCAAAACCTGGTTGAAGATTTTCATAAATTTTCAATAGTGTCCTTTTCACTACCAACATTGGACCGATATGTTTGACTCGAAATTACAGGATACTCTGGGCCGCTACTGAAATGGAACATTTCACCTGGGAATCTTACTGGGGGTGTATTCATTTTCCGTTTTTTGTTGGCTTCTGACATAGGCGTTACCGATATTTTATTTGTAGAGTATTGACGCCTTTGCGAAGATGTATTAGAAGTAGTAGGTGATCTTGATGTACTAGGTAGTACCGGAAAATTCGACTGATCCATATTTAACAAAGGTTGAATGCGATTATCATTGATTACGCAACTAGCATATGAACCAGTCATTTTATCCTTGGCTTCCATAAATGACAGATTTGAGTTGGCCATGATTTTTTTAATTTTTTGTTGTTCCTGAAATACAGGACAGGTTTTGGAAATACTAGTGTGGTTGACTGACTTGCAATGAATACAATAGCTATTGGTTTCGAGACAGGAGTGATTTTCATCTTTGGATTGACCACATGTCATACACCTAGAAGTCGAGCTACGGCACTGGGTTGATACATGACCAAAACGTAAACATTTAAAGCACTGAATTACTTTTTGCACGAAGGGCTCAACTGTAAATAGCACACTATTGATGGATAATTCGTTTGGGAGCACATTACCATCAAATGTGATTACTGCGATTTGTCTGGGAACCAATTGTTCCACATCATCTTTAACAATTTTTCTTTTGAGACGACTTACGCTTAGGACTGTTACTGTAGATGATATATTATTTTTTAAATAATCTTCGTCAAAGGAGGTGTCAACCCCTTTAATAATACCCTTACCAACCAGCAAGTTGTTCGGAATATACGCTTGAATGTTTTCTGTTTTAAGTTTTTCATTTGAAATTATTTCATTTGCCGCCTTTGTCGAATTAACTGTCACTTTAATCCTATTTTGACCAACTCTTGAAATAATGACAATGAATTTACTCAGGTTTAATTTTTTGTGAAGTAGATGGCCTATAAACATCGGATGTAGCCTACCAATTTTCTCCTTGTTCAATTTCTCCATATAAATATAAACATCAGAAGAATACTTATCCGATTGCAAATTGAAGAATCGAGGTAGGGGATTTCCTTCAGTGTGAGTAGAATTCCTACTGTAGGGTTTTTGAAGACGGTTATCTTCATTGTGAGATTCCGTTCCTGAGGTTAATTCCATATTATCTTCCCCGAAGGTTAGATCGAATATTGCTACATTGCCACTAGAACTGCCACTAGTGGTGGGGCCACCCACCCCCGTAGGTGGTGGTGGCATTTAATTGTCTTAAATATGCCTAATATGTAAATCAACACAGCAAACTGGTATTTGTATAAAAAACTATCCCAAGAAAGGAGTGATTCCGTACACGGTCGAACAGAAACTGGGATAGTCCCCTTAGAATCGTGGCCATCAACCTTTCAAAGGTTGCAGGAGCATTGTACAGGCCGAATGGCATCACATTAAACTGCCATAATCCGGTGCCCACCGTGAATGCTGTCTTCTCCCGATCTTCAGGGGCCAAGTCTACTTGCCAGTACCCGCTTTTTGGATCTAGGGTGGAAAACATTTTTGATTTAGCCAGGGTATCAATACGCGGTAGAAGGTAACTGTCCTTCTTGGTTACGTTGTTTAACATTCGGTACTCCACAAAAAATCTGGTTGAACCATCCTTCTACCGGTGAGGCCTGTTGGACGGTTCAGTGATTCCCTCGTTGGCCATACTGTCTACGATCTTATCAGCCTCCTCTCTTTTAGCACATTTAGCAAATGGGAGCCCTCTTGCCATCTGCCGGATGTGGCGGGCATTTTCCGTATTAATCTTGTGCTGGACTGTAGTGGTTCTTCCTTTCTGTCCAGTATCGAATACATCTCGATATCTATGCATTAGATGTTTCAGTTTCTTTCTTTGGTCTGATCATAGATCTGTTATATGCACTCAAAACAATGGACTTACTATTCCATACAATGTTGCACCAGACGCTAGCTCAGCAACAGATAACGACTTCTCGCTAACTCGTTGTTTACGCTTTATTTTCTAGAAGTGCTTTGTAAGCACACCAATAGTATAAATAGGCCTTGCGTCCATTTCGTGTTGTTCATTACCTGGTTAGACTTCGTCAAGTCAAGTAATTGTAAACGTTTGTAACGGACAGTAGTTACTGTCCTCAAATAAATTTTTTAAAAAGTAAAGTTGAATTTAAATGATATAACAGATCTCTGCCTGATGACGGTATTAATTATTCCAGTTCCTTACGAATGACTTCTGAGTTTTCCACAACTGCCATATTTCTAATGATTGCAGAAACTGGACAGCAGTGTCCCGGCTCCGAGCCTGCTTATATGACACAGGGTAATGACTGAATTAGTCTCACAGGAATGATTATATCGGCACGCACAAGGGCTTTTGCAACTGCTCAGCCAATAGCCTCGTCATGCATCCTGGGTTCAAACATGACTATTTGTCCGTCTGTAGTCATTCCTTTCCCGATGTAAAATGCACTCCTAATTGTTGACTCTCAAGATTCCTTGCTTAAAGTTCAACTCGAAGCTCTTTGTCGCCATGATGTCCATTCCGATGATTACCTCGTTCTCAATATCAGCTACTATCGCCGGATGCTCGAATGTAGCTTTTCCTATTCCAAATGCGATGTTTACTTCACCGAACACGTTTGCACGGGCTCCCGTCGCCGTTCGTAGTCGCCATTTAGATGGTCGAATCTTCACCGATGCTTTCACCATGTCGGGCCTTATGATAGTCTTTGTCGCATCTGTATCCAACAGTACGGTGTGGAGAGTCCCATCTACAAAGCATCGACAAAAACACTATTAGACTGATGTTTAAGCGAGGAGACTTGTTGGTTACACGTTGACGATAGCCCCTTCACATCGACCCCCCTTAGTTTTCCGGATTGGCCGGATGAGCTTTTTGCCTCACTGAGCTCATTTTGTAACGTATCGGATTTGAATTTATGTAACTTCAAAGAAGACTCGAGTTCTCTAACTAATTTAGCCTGGATATCTTGCTCTCTAATATGGTATTTTGATTTCTTTTTGCAGTATCAACATATGCGAATTACTATCACTCTTAACATCCAGCTGCGATTTAGTGACGCAAGAGTTTCTTGCTTGTCTGCAGCTGTCACAAAACCAGATCAGATTATCAAACTCACACAGATAGATTAGATCCTTCAACCCAACACACACAAGATGTAATGATTTCACACACAGCTTGCACTTTATCCCTTTGCTGTTAACAATGAAATTATCAGCACATACGTCCACATCGTCGGCCATCTCAACGTGGAATCAATTCCAATCCTTTAAACTATATGATCAGTCACTGCGTCACGTGTAAACTTAAGGTGCCCTCAGTTTTAATACAGCATTCAGCACCTATAGGGATATGGAAAAACAAGGTCACGCGATTTGGCCGCCATATTTGTAAATGACCGCCAAGTTATCAACGGTTATTCAACATATCTTCTTTAATTGTTTAAAGCTCGTCTTACTCATTTTTTAAGGCGAACATATTATATAAATAACCCAATAATAATTGAAGCCTATTAAGAATTTTAATCTTTGAGAATCTATTTAGAGTGGTCTGTCTTTGGTAAGGCTTAAATCAAGTTCGAACTGTTAAAAGTAAAGCACTTAACTAATCCTGCCACAAAATAGAAATAAGTAATTCAAATCTTTTGAAGATGGTATATCTTAAATTTCTCACACTAAACTTTACTTTTTTAATAATCAAGGCAAAGGAAACGGTTTATAGCTAACAGTCGAAACATTGTAAACCATAATGTCTAGATTTTTTCACGATAATAACCCAATTGGGATGGTGGTACCATCTACGAGTAGATGCAAAGCCAACCCTTGCAGTGTCAAGACTTTTCTGATCTTTTATGAAAAATTTCTCCTCTGATGCACTTACTCAATAAGCAAGTGCTACCTTCTAAGCAATTCCAGTGTCTAACCCTTATCGCTAGAACCATTATTCTTCAGATGTCACATTAAAAGCTTTTCGCTCAAATTTAAAAAACTATTATAACCCCACAGGTATATTGTAATGACTTGCAGTTTCAAAGCCATCTACAATTACTGTATTTCTGAGGCAAGACCCTCAAACGATAATAAAAAATACGCATGAGGTCATTCCTCGGAAGCTTTCCTACATTAACTTGCTAATAATAAACCAGTATGAAGCAGGCACGTACTGCCTTATACTGATAAATCCGCACATAAGCTTTCTCGCCGCCTTACAATGAAATTGTCTCTACCTAATATGAGGACAACTTTTGGATTGCCATAAATTTGCGTTTGATCTCAAAGTTAACAACATGCGGTATCAATTACTAAAAACAAAAAAAAACAATTTACGCCATATTTGTGACTGCAGGGGCGTTTTTTAGTACAAAGCATTTCAAATAAGGTCATTTAATAACTTGAGGGTTCCATCTTACTGTGGTACCATCCAGCCTCGTACCGTTTCTGACATTGTTTCATCTAATAACGTTATTCCCTTAACAAGTCAATCTACTTGACGTCATTTATTGTTGCATGTTGGACTGTTTCACTCTCCCGCATATACCACATTTTGCAGACAATCGCGACAAATATATCCTAATCGCCAAATATTGTTATTCTCTGAATGAATCAATCTACTTGATGTCATTTTAATGCTGCATGGTGGGGCGTTTCACAATCCTGCATGGACCACATTTCAGAGACGCTCACGAAATGTAACCTAGTCCGACTATTTACGTTATTCCTTGAATGAGGCAGCCTATTTGACGTCATTTTATTGATGCTTGGTAGGGGGTCTCACAC